TTTACTTAAACAATGGTGCCCCCTCAGTTTTGGTTAAGAAGGAACACAGTTGAAACAAAGTCAAGACAGGTTGGCAAAAATGTGAACTAATGGTTATGTCTCTTACCCTCCATTCCCTTTAACTCCTCACCTCTTTCATTGTTTAGCTTCCCTTTTCTATGTTTTCTCCAGGAGTATTTGAGAACTCAGTACTGAGCATTCGCGTTTACTAAGATAGGTATTTGTTGAAAATGGAAAACTCCAGAAGATTTTACAGTTAACCTTCCCTAAATTTAACCCTATCCATCAATGGTGTGAAGGAAACTAGACTCTGAGTGAAAGGTTGTAAGTTCTCCCTCTCTTGTGGTTTCCTACTTAACACAGAATCCCCTCAGAACAGGTAGCCCCTTCTCAGGGTTTAGTCACTTTCTCTCATTACTATTACCCTTTTCCTTTTCTTTCGTAGCCATCCTGACTCAGCATTGTAACAGAATATTTTGGGGTGTACAATATAAAAATCTTTGCAAACCCCAAGGAAACCAGGATGCCTGCATACATGGAAAGTCTATCCTTACCCCCCCCCCCCGCCTCCCCCCAGCTGCCCTAGTCAACTTTTCCTTCTCTTCCCAGTTGCTAATTGGGGTCTGTCATATGGAGCCTTATGGATACATTTCAGGCCACACTAGTATAATTGCTTGGAGGGACAAAAATGGAGAAAGAGTTCTGCTCCTTCTACTTTCTTTCTCCTCTCACAAAGGAAGTGGATATTAAGGATGTTTGAAAAGTTACTGTTTAGTTCCCTGTTAAAAAGACAGGGAGAAGTCCAAAGTCAATATTCTTTATAAATCAATTCATACCACAAACTTCAGGATTCATAAGAAAAATAGAAACTCATGGAATCCTAGTTTAATTTTCTTGCCTACATTTACACAGTAAGTGGTAGGACTAGATCTAGAACCCCAAAATGCTTGGATCCAAAGTTAATGGTCTTCCTACCATAGCACAAAGCTTTTTATTATCTTTGAACTGGAGACAATCCCCCTGCCCTCAATCCACAGGAAAAGTATTAAAGAGAGTGTGGGTGAAGCTGCAGGCCCTCCTAGAATCAGCAGCTGAACTTGTGAATCAGCCTAACCTTTTGCCAAACCACAGCTCTGAAACTAAGGAAAGAGAAGAAAGGTAGATGAAATACAAGCCTCTTTTGGTAGGACAGTGTAGTGTATGGGGACATACTTGGATTTGGAATAAAAGGTCTGTACTGTATGTCAATTGTAATAAAAAAAATGTTATTTAAAAAAAAAAAAAGATCTGGATTTGAATCCTGACTGGGCCATCATGTGAGTCAGCTGAGGTTATCACTGGAACTCTGAGTGTAAGATGAAGAATCAAGGATCGTGTGACCTAACTTACCTTCTGTGCACACTGTTGTGAGAATTCAAATATACATATATTAAACTTGAGCATAGTTCAACTATTTGGCATGTGAGTCAATAACCACTTAGGATAATGGCCAGCATGAGGTAAATGCTCAATAAATGTTAGTTTTATTTAATATTCCAATATGGTTCTCAGTCTCCATTCTCAAACCATCCCTTTAACTCTATTTCTTTTTTCCTCTTCTCTACTATTCTGTAGCTCCTTTCTCTATGAAGTATTTATAAAAAGGGAATAAGATTTTAGATCTTCAAGAGATCTTCTCTGACTTAGGTCCCAGATAATGCAGTTTTCCACCAGGTAATATATTGGCTTATGGTGTCTGGGGACAGTTACTTAAAGGAGTATTCATTGAGGAAGTTAGGTTTCAAAAAGTCTCCAGAACGCACACACCCACACCAAAAACTCTAGTAAGGTTAAGAAAAACCTTTTATTTTCAGATAACTAAATCAACCAGTAAAATTTATTTGCAGGAGTCAACTATTTCTTGTAATATACCAATGGTATTTAAAATCAGTGCTCTCTGTAAACAAAATGAATTATTTTTTATAATAAAGTACTTACAATTTCAAATAAAAATTTTCCTGAAATCTTGAGGTGAAAGTAGCTTGAATATTGTCTTCCACTGATATATATTTAAAGGCATTATCAAGACCAAATTCACGTAGCAATTTACAGTCAATGCTGATTAAATTATACAACTATATTTTAATTGATACTTTGTAAAGTTTCTTTGGCATATTTACCCATCACTTTTCTATCTTCTATGCATTAATGTCTGTTTTTATACATTGTGAAGGGACAGAGTATTCACAGTAGGTAGCTCAAAGTGATGGTTCTGCAGTGGTGACAACAGTGAATTTTAAGTCTAATCGCTCTGTTTCCAGAACTTTAGCTTTATATGATCTGTTGTGAATTTCTCAATATGTGATATGAGGGACCCAGCATTACCATAAAAGCTTATCTCTGATTTAAAAAATGTTTCAAAGCCCTGTGGAAAACATCCTGTCTTCCAATCTATTGTTATGCAAAGTTTAGAAAAGGCCAACACCTTTAACTGTGTTATTAACTCCTATATAAACCTATGGGTCATCTGAATAGCCCCTACGATCCCCAGTTTTTATGGCATAAAGTGCACTCTAGAAAAATGTACAACACTGTTCCGCTAATTGCAGTCAATTTGACACACTTACATGGCAGCAAACTGGTATTCCAAAACACTCACCGATGTGCCACTGCACAAAAGGCCGAGGTGTTAGCAGTGGAGGCTGATTGATAAAGTTAATGCAGAGGTCCTGGATTATAGGGAACTGTTGTATAACAGCATCACATACTGCAATATTGTGTGAATCCTTGCTATAAAAGAACCATATTTGCAAACCAGTGGACAACAGCCACAGGAGCAGCAGCGGGAAAGATGTTTTAGACACGAAGAGTTGGATGGTGCTCCTCATTTGTATTCGTCTATATAAGCCCATACAATCTTATCATAGGCAGTTAGCAGGTCTGAGATTCTGTCCTAAAAACTCACCCACTCTCACTTAAAATCCCTCACTCTCCGCCATCCCTGAAACAGCCAATGACGGAGCACGATGGCCACCACTTGCACTGTGCCTTCCCCTTCCTATCCGGACCCTGTCCAGCAGGAGCCCATGGTTTTCACTGGCTGCTGGAGGCCTCCATCCACCTGCTGTTTGCAGCAAACACCAAAGGGAACAGTAGCAAACCTGTATATCCTGACCAGCAGAGAAGGTGCCCAGAACAAGTGGCAGGGGCTGCAACCAGTGAGGACAGACGGACTGACAACCAGACAGACAGACAGCACCATCAGACACCATCCACTACTTCCAGTCTCAGGAGAGGGGAAGCCTGCAGCACCAGGGACAGCATTGTTCCTGGCAGGGACAGGCAGCAGGTTAACGAGGGTTGTGCCTTCCTCAAAGCAGCAGGCTTAAAGTATTTGGGGTTTAGTTTTTGGATGAGAAGGAGCAGGGAATTCAGAAACCTGCTGCTCCTGATAGAAGCAGGCCAGCTCTGGCCTTCCAAGTTAATGGCCCTTTTCTGAGTCTACAATGGAAAGGGCAGGAATGACTGGATTTCTACACTTTTGCTGTGACACGGCACCCACAGCTCTCCCTCAATATTCCCCTCTCCCATCTGGGTAGCAGTTACACTGGTGGGGGGGGCCCATCCGCCTATGAACACAGCCTCCCTCCATCCCTGTCCTGTGAGGCACTGCTGCACTGAGGGGAAGCGGAAGAAACCTTTGGTGGCAGCATCTTCTCTTCAGGAGGCAATCCTAGAGGGTGGGGAGAGCCATGTTGGGTGTGCTCCATGCCTGGCTCTCACCCCTCTTCCCTTCTGTGTCTGCCCCTTCTTTGCTGTCAGCTAACTCCAGATGCAACAGGTTCCCTTTGGCTCCTCATGCCAATCCTGTGCCCCCAGATACACTACTGACCCAACCAGGGAAACACCAAGCAATTAGTCCCAGGCGGGGTTTCTAAATCCCCGCACCCCTGAGTTGAAAACTTTCCTGAATACATGAAGACCTGCCAAGGGAAGGCAGTTGAAGTCCCCTTCAGCTCCACTCTAGGTATGATGCTAAGGAGAAGCTAAACTGACTCTGGGTGTCAGGACCTTGTAAGCAGCACAGTGTCACACACTCCTACACCACCAGCTATGGGCCTGTCCCCTCCCCAGACACAGGGCACTGGACAGAAATCCCTTGAAGGGCTGATGGACTTTAAAGAAGGGGAGACATATGCAAATTCCCAATCCCCTATTGTACTGCTTGCACCAGGAACTGAGCAGGCCCCGGAGGTCTCTTGGAAACCAGTAAAGAGGAACCTCTATTTTATTCACACCAGACTCCCCATCAGCTTCTCCCACTATTACAAACTTTGCATTGTCAATGGTGTTACATAGATGTAAGAAAATGTGACTGCACACAGGTATTTTGTGTAAAAGACTGTGCATAAAAGGTTAAAGGGAGTCTGGGGAGGCAGGTTCCCAAAGATGGCAACTGCCCCCCAATAAAGACCCAACCTTGTTCTGTGATTTGAATGAGTCCCAAAATGAACACTAAAAATAAGCATTTTTCGTATGTCAATACTGACACCCTTCAGTGGGGTAACCCCAGCCTGCTAAACAACTCCAAGAAGAGCAGAGGAGCTATTCTCAGCACCTCTTCTTCCCACTCCCCTTCCTTCCACTCACCCCCTGCCCCCTAACCTGCTCCCAACCCAGGGCCCTTCCACTAGGGTGGGATCAGCTCTTCTCAGCTTCCCCACATCCCAGCCCCAGGGTGGTCGCGGTCCACCCCACCCTCCTCTGCACCCCAGTCTCCAGCCACCCTCTCCTGGTTCCTGGGCTCTCGGCTGGGTGACATCCTCTCCTTCCTCTGGTCCCCCTAACCTCTTCCCTGCTCAAGCCCAGAGCCCCTGGCCCCAAGGAGGGCGCCTCCGCCCGCACCCCGCACCCTCGCCCAGCCCCCTCCCCCACACCCAGCCCAGAGGGTTGGGTGAGTGAGTGGTGAATGGACCGAGGGAGGCACGGAGGCTCGGGTGGCGCGGCTGGGGGTGGCTTACTTGAGCATGGCTTCTTCTTTTTCCTCCTCTTCCTTCTGCCGGTCCATCACTGCCATGATAATGTTCCTCTCCTCCTCGGTCAGGTGGCTCAGGTCGGGCAGCTCTTGCATGGGGGGAGGCACGGTGGGTGGGCGAGCACCGCGGGGCCCCACGGCCGAAGACATGGTCGTGGCCTGCCCGCCCCCTCCTCGGGCTCCGGGCTCTCACCTTTCGGATGCACGCCCAGCAGCGCGGCGCCCCTGCCTCCCTTCGCTTCACAGCGGAGCCCTCCGGGCGGCGGGAGGAGGAGCGGCAGCGGCGGCAGCAGCGGAGCCGGGGAGACGGCGAGCCCAGTCTCTCATGGTTGTTTGCATCCACCCAGCCCCGGATGCTGCCTTTGTTGTGGTCGCCCTCGCTAGGCTCGGGGCTGCCCGGCCGCCTCCCGCAGCCCAGCCTCGGCCGGCGGGGGCGGGCAGGCAGCGGCGTGGCGGGCGCGGCGAGGGGGCGAGGGCGAGGGCTCGCGCGCGGGGCTCGGCCGATCCGCGCGGCGTGCGCGTGGGGCGGGGGCGGGGCCGGGGCCGGGGCCGGGGCCGCAGCTGCCGAGGCTGCTCCCAGGCACCGCTGCCTCCGGTTCGGGGCGTCGGGAGGGAGAGGGAGAGTTTGGGTGGCAGTTAGGCGGAGTCTCGGAGGCTCCGCTCCCGGGTGATGCTGCTGCTCTCGCAGACGCGGCTGCCAGCCACTCAGTCCCGGAGCCGCTCCGCCCACGGGCACCCACCCGCCCACTCCCCGGGTCCGAGCCGCGCGAGCCCCAGCCGCTCCCCCCCGCGCTCGCCAACGTGCGCCCCACCTCGCTCTATCCCCAGGTACCCCTCACCCGTGAGTCATCCTCCTTTCCCGGTCTCTGGTCTATGTCATCCTCGCCAGCCCTGTTTGTTCCTGGGTTGCGTTAATCATCAGCATCCCCTACCATCCTCATCGTGGAGCATTCGGATTATTTGCGCACCCACTGGGTTCTGAGCAGCAGGGCAGAACGCCTCTGGATGCATTTTCCCCTCGGAGACCATATCGTTCTCATGACTAGTCAAGTGTCTCTCTAGACTAGAGCCACAACAATGTGATTTTCAAAAACAATTTGGATATACACACACCTCCACCAGCCTGGATTTTTCTGGGTGCATTGTATGCAGTATCTTCCTTGACCCATCCTCAGTAGGTCGGTTCCGCAATTTATCCTAATTTCCCCGCAACTCGGCAACTCTTTAATTTGTCATTTGGGGCTGTGGGTAGTCCTTTCACAGCACTTCTCTGGTGCTTGCAAATGAATTACCTACTCTAATTTTTCATGCTGCTCACTATCATCACGGACTCACTTCTTAGCCTCTCTGGGTGCTTCTGCAGAAACACGGATCCCAGATAAGAAAAACACCCAACCTATCATATTGTGAGAAGCTTCTGCTCAATACCTGACCCAATGATAGGCATTAAGATGAGCTCCTCTTACTGATAAAGGCAGAAATAAATAGACAATCCTTTCAAAACAGGTAATGTTATCAGTTTTGAAACCCAGAGATTAAATTTTCTTAATACACTTATGAAAGAGTCACTATGGAGAAGGGTTCAAATTGTATGACAATTTAAAAAAAATCAATAGTGATGAGAGAATTGGTATGCTCCCCGCCTGGGGGATTCTTTTTATAGTTCCAAGAAAAATCTAGCACTAATCTTTTTTTTTTTCCTGTAAGCCTAATTTTGTTAATAAAGATGATGATGATGATAATTATGAATCCTAAAACTCCTAAAGTCTTCGAGTTTAGGGAAAGTAAGGTTTTTAACCACTGGGTCTCCCAATTGAATACAGGTGTTGATTCTACCGGGATACATCTGTTTGAATCCTTTCAGTAATAGAAGGTTTACATCTTAAGTCTATTCCTATGTCTAAATCCTTCTTCCTAAAAAATTTCCAACTGTCTGAAGTGTCTATCATGCCATCTTCAATTTCCTCCAGAGTAGCCCTTCCCAATGTATCTTACCAGTAATTGTGTAGCATGATTTTAATGCTGGTCATTGTGTTCACCAGCCTTTGTACCCAACAGTGTTTTTTTCACTAGCCTTCCAAAGCAGTAAAATCAAGAATACATGTAAAGAACCAAAAACTGTGTCTGGCATTTACTAGTGCTTTATAATCACTTTTATTTGCACAACTTAACATTGCCTTAACTTTTTGGTAGCCATGCCAGTTATGAGGATATCACTGAAATACATACATAGGCCACTATAATGCCCATTTCATTTTCATAAGTTCTGCTGCCTGAAAAGATATCTTCTTTCCTCTAATTAAGCAAATGATGAAATTACCCTAATCAGCATCTTTTCCTCATTTAAAAAATAATGTACCTGTTTCCCTCAGATCAGCATACTAGTATATTCAGAGAGACAAGAGGTTTACAATCATGTTGGTCCTCCTGAAATTCTTCTAAAATAGAAACAAAGGAATAAATCCTTTGATAGACATTAGAACAAGCTGAATGAAGCTCTTAAGGCAGGGGCCTAGTGCACATTTAACAGTGGTGATTTTATTTGCTAGGGCTGATATTACAAAATTCCATAGACTGGGTGGTGTAAACAACAGAAATTTATTTTATCACCGTTCTGGAGACTAGAAATCCAAGGTCAAAATGCTGGCAGAACTGATTTCTTTCTGAGGCCTCTCTCCTTGGCTTGTAGATGGCCACTGTTTTTGTGTGTCCTCACATGACCTTTTCTCTGTGCATGTCCTACCTGGTACCTCCACTTCTACTTATAAGGGCATTATTCCTGTTGGATTAGGGCTGCACCCTTATCACCCCATTTAACTTGAATTACCTCTTGAAAGGTCTTACCCCCAAATACAGTAACATCCTATGGTATTGGGGCTTTAACATATGAATTTTTAGTGGGGCACAATCCAGTCCAATATAAGTGGCTTCCAATGTGATTGGAAGAGAGATTGTGAAATTTCCAATGTGATTCTCTTGTTCAACCAACGGTATCCATAGAAAAACATCTTAAATCTCTGTTCATAAGATATGAATGAGGTACGTTTTTTGAAATATATGTATTTTTATTTATATCAGAGGGGAAGGGAGAGGGAGAGAGAGAGAGAGAAACAACCAGGAATTGAACCTTGACCTCCTGGTTCATAGGTCGACTCTCAATCACTGAGCCACACCAGCCAGGCTGAGGTACCCTTAAAGTCAACACTAACATCATGTTCAGGGTGCTAGTCAAAAACAATGACTTAGACAAACTCCGTTAAAGTAAGTGTCTTAGCTATCTTCTCCACTGATACTATCGAATCATCATTTCTCAAAATAAGTCTAAAATTGGACACCACTGTTAACTGTTAATTCACTAGCCGAGATTATAATTTCAGAGTGGAAAATCATTGAAATGGAGTCAAGTTCAAATCTTTACCATATGAAGTTGTAGCTGGCTTAATCCTGTCTTCCCCCAAAATTCATATCCACTCAGTCTCAAAATGTGACCTTATCTGGAAATGGAACTTTACTGATAATGTTAGTTAAAATGAGATTATTTTGTATTAAGGTGAGTCCTAAATCCAAAGACTACTGTTCTATGAGAGGAGAGAATGCTTAGACAGACATGCAGGGAAGAAGGCCATGTGAAGATACAGACACACAGAGAAGAAGGGCCTGTGAAAGCAGAGTCAGAGAATGGAGTTATGGTGCCCTGAACCAAGGAATGCCTGGAGCCACCAGATGCTGGGCGAGGGAAGGGAGAAATCTTCTCTAGAGACTTCAGAGTAATCATGGTCCTGCTAACACCTTGATTTTGGATTTGTAGCCTCCACACTGTGAGAGAAGAAATTTCTGTTGTTTTGGGTAGTTTGTACAGTTTATGGTACTTTGTTACCACAGCCTTAGGAAACAAATATAACAGTTCTGTGAGTCTGGGTGGATTGGTAAAGCTCACGGAGCCTTATTTTGCTCATCTATAAAATGGAAATAACAATATTCACCTTTAAGGATTTCATTTTGTTTTAATCCTCACTAGAGGGTATTTGTTTCCATTGAGTAGAAGGGAGTGTGGGAGAGAGAGAGAGAGAGAGAAACATCAATGTGACACAATCGATTGGTTGCCTCCTGAAGGAGCCCCAGTATGTGCCCTTGACCGGGAATGGAACCTGTGACCCTTCAGTTCGAGGGCTGACGCTTTAACCACTGAGCAAAACCAGCCAGGGCACCTTCCAGGGTTTTGGCAAGGATAAAAAAGTTGTTTGTGCTAGGCGCTGAAGAATATGGGAGAGAACAATGCATACAGAGTAATGGCCCTGGAGGGAATTGGCAATCTATGGACTATGAGTCAAAAGCAGCCAAAAAGCCTGTGTTTTGTGAATAAAGTTTTATTGAAACACAGATACATCCATTGATTTATGTATTATCTATAGCTGCTTTCATATTACAATGACAGAGTACATGCAACAGAGACCATATGTTCTGCAAAGTCTAAAATATTTACTATCTGCTTTTTTACAGGGGAAAATTTTTTTTTACATGCTTACAATACAGTTGGAGGAGAGAGGCATAAATAAATAAACACGTAAGAACAGCTGGATCACAATAATTGCTCTAGAACAGGGGTGGGCAACCCCTGGTACGCGTGCCAAACATGGCACGCCAGTAACTTTTGCTGACACGCGAAACCCTCTCTTATAATCTTCCATTTACAAGTGTGAATCTTTGTTCTCAGTAAAGAATTTTGTTAAGTCTCATAACAGGAGTAGCCTGATGGAAAGCAGTAGCTCGTGCATATCTCTGAAGGTCACGAAATATAAACCTGATGTAAAATCTCTGTCATCAGTAATGCAGCAGCAAAAGTCCCACTGATAATATCAAACGGAGTCATAAAGTTTTCTGTCGGACTATCAGTGTACATGTATACATTAAAAAATAAATGTATTTTTCATCATCATATACTGTGTTTTTGTCGCTCAAATGAATTTTATTATTTCTTCAAGGTTCTTCACATACGTACACCTTAAGAGATATCAAGTAGGTATAACATGTTCTCAAAAAATTAGGGTTGGCACGCAGAAGAATTTTGAGTCAGAGATTTTGCTGGTTTTGGCACGCACTCACAAAAAGTTTGCCCACCCCTGCTCTAGAAAATAAGTTGTCAGATATAATAGAGAGTAAACTGTGGGAAGATAGGTACTCATCGAAGGACCAGCCCAAGAAGGGCTGGGCACAGAGTGTTATAAGCTGAGGAAAGTGCTAGAGACAAGCTCTGAGTTGGAAAAGGGCAGTGCTCTGGAGGGACAGAAATAGGACTATTGTGAGGAGAGGAGAAAATGGTGACAGATGAGCTGATAGAGGCCTCAATAGCCACAAGAAGTGCTATTTTATTCTTGTGCCATGGGAAGCCACTGAAGAGCTTAACCAAGGGGTTAAATGGCATGCTTTATAATTTTGAAAAGATCCCTCT